TACATACATATATACATACATATATACATACATATATACATACATACATATATACATATATACATATACACATACATACATATATACATACATATATACATATATGTATATATATATGTATACACATATATATATATATATACATATATATATGTATATATATATACATATATATATATATATATATATATATACTTGTACATTATTTGCAGGGATCATTCGTGATTTTTAACCTTGTTGACTTTGACTTTCATTTTCACCCTTCGTACTGTGCAAAAGTTAATTATAATTTTTATATGTTTTTTGCATCTATACAATGCAGAAAACGCATGTTGTCGAGGGGCTATCTCCGTTTGTGTGTGTGTGTCTGCACCGATTTTTCATCTCGAGTCCTATAAAAACTACTGGGCTGAAACTTGGGAAACTTGATCTATATGCACGTACAGGCCCGCTAAAGTTTTTGTCGGGTAAGCCCCTAACTCGGGAACCAGAAAAGCTAGGAAGCTGAAAATTTAAGGGGATGTTTTCAGACAGCCCTGGTGGCCAGTCTCAATTCTCTTAGTTAGAAGATCTGCTGGAAAAGCGGTACCGTTGACGACAAAAGCTGCGGAGAACTGTGCAAAAAACGCATCTTTGCACTGGCAGTCGGTGCGCTGGCCATTTATTTGGAAAGTGCAGAATGGGAGGAACGATAAATAAAGATGAATGTAACTAATGAAAAATTTTGAATGTCATTTGGAATTAATGAGCTTATGTGTAGTATCAGTATAAAGACAATTTCATAGTAATCAAAATTAATGGTTACTGTTTTGTCTGCACTTAAAAATGGTTTTTATTCCTTCAGTAACATTCATCTTTTTCAGCGTTTCATGAAATGTTGTTCACCACATGCTCTCTGTGCCATTTTTCGTCGTCTTGTTACCGATTATCGTAACTGCCGGAGCGGTTTTCCAGACTTAACAATTTGGAATGATGAAACGAACCAACTTGCAGTAAGCTATTATTTTCTAGTTTTTATCCTTTTGAGATGAACATTCGTTAAGTTGCTGTGAAGTAGCGTTTTCTTTGACCGTACGCGCTCTCCTTTCTGTATTTTACAGTGGTGCTTCTTAGCAGATAAAACACGGAATGCTGAATTCGCGAATATGTTATAGTGCTTCAAGTACATGCCGACAGAGTTGTCCGTGTGTTGATGAAGTGATTAAGATCCACTGAGTGTTTTTTTTTTTTTTGATTTCAAAATGAATGCTAGTCATTGGTTCTTTTCCACATCGATTTTTGTCTTGAGGCTTCAAAAAATGAAAGTGTTACGAAGCATTTTATTATTCCTTTAAGTGCACTGTGCCATAATTATAAGCACGGCAACAGCTGTGTTGGCTAGGATTCTCAAAAAGCATTGGCAATGAGCACCAAGCGGGTCGGTGCAGTAATGCGTTTTTGCACTGTTTTGTGCTGTGGCAAGAACTTAAGGAATCCCAGTAGTTAGAATTAATGACATACCAGTCTTCGAAGTTCAGGAAGTTAATTGTGCAGCTATGCAGAGTGTCAGTTGTAAATGTTGGCTTCAGTGACCCGAAAAACGGAGCGTTGTTCGTGCGCGAAAAAGGCTGCACGAGAAGAGCTAAATTTGAAATCTTTTAGCCGTATATCAGTAGGGGACATTCCCTTAAATTTCCAGTTTTCCAGCTTTTCTCTTTCGCGAATATACAATTTTCCCGCTAAAGTTTTCACAAGCCCCTACGAGAGAGGAGGTGAACTTGAAAACTTTTAGGGAACATTTCTTTAAAATTCCAGCTTTCTGGCTTTTTTCGTTCCCGAATTAGCAGTTTTCCCCCGCCAAAACATTTACTGTTTGTACATAAGACTCGGACGATTCCAAGTAGCTGAACTTGAAACCTTTCAGTCGCACGTGAGTAGGTAACATTCCTTTAAAATTACAGCTTTGTAGCTTTTTTCGTTTCTGGGGTAGCAATTTTCCCGCCAAAACTTTCACGTGCCCGTACGTGTGTTCCAGGCGGTTCTAAGGAACTGGATTTGTAATCTTTTGTTTGTGCATGAGTGGGGAACATTCTCATAGGATTCAGCTTTCCGGGTTTTTATGTTCCTCAGTTAGTAATTTTCCGACCAAAACTTTCAAGTGTTCGTATGTGAGACGCAGACGTGCTTGGCAATTAGTAACACGTTCCTGTAGTCACACCTGGCCAGAAGAAGCACTCTCAAGATCTTAGCACCAAAGCCTGCGTGAAGGACATAAAAAATTTTTGTAGGGCACAAAATTTCAACATTAAGGCCTGGTGGAACACAAAAGTTAAAAAATTGTTGGACTTCAGGATTAAAAAACATCTGTTGAAATTTTATATGAAAAATGTGAAAATAATATTTTTATTACGTATTCCTTCATATCGGTCACACTTCTGCAGGACATTTAACTGCTTCCTTAGGGATTTGCATCGAAAGCTCCTGACCATCTGTCCAAACAGTCTTACTGATTACATCGTTTGGCTGCAGCTGTAGATCTAGCCTTTAATTATTATTAAATTTTCAAACGACAGACAGTTTTTCAGGTTGTTGAAGTAAAAGGACCCGGTGACAAACTCTCAGCAAAGCAGCGTTTGTGGCTTAATTTCTTTGAAAGTTTAAATATAACTGCGCATGTTTGTTTTGTAGCCGGTAAGTGGTTGTTTATGGAGACATATTTCTCACGATAAATGTCAGTAATGTGTAGGAGATTGGTCTGTGGTCAGGCGAAGGCTTAGTTGCGCGTTCTTGCAACATTAGCAGTGCATCTGTTGCGATTTGATTTTAACTTAAATCCAGTTATTTTAATGATCATTTCCATGAGTTGTTAAAAAAAAAAAACATATATTGCTACTGACCATTATCTGTTTTTACTAATATTGTTCCAATTTTGTTATTTTCAGTGAGAACGAGTTAGGTGCACTGATAGCTAGAGCTTTTTTTTTGAAAACTGATTGGTACTTTATGTTAAAGAAGTTGGCCCTGGAACCATTTGGTGGTTTTAGTAATAAGTGATGCTGAGCACTGCTTTGGCGAAACCAGTAATAAATTTTTAATTCACATGAAATTAATTAGCTAAGGTCGAGCTGACTTTTATCCGCCAAATGTTTATGTGAGACTGAAAACTGAAATTTTTAGTTGGATTTAATCAATTTTACAGTACTGGTTCACTCAAACACTTTTTTTTTCAGCCCAAAATCCTAGAAATCTCGAGTAAGCTCGATGTGACTTGATCTCAATGAACAGTTGTTCAGCTGCACCCGAGGCGCGCTGTCTTTTCTGTACGCGAATGTTTCGGAGCCTTGCAAAGTGCAAGTGGAAGAAGCGAAGAGGCCATATTTGTATCGAAGTTACAAGCACTGGAAAAACTATTACTTCTTGATTTCGGAACAAGAAAACATATAAACAGCGGGGAGTAGAGCTCTTCAGAATGGTCGGAATGGTGACAGCGGCTATGTAGTGTATTCAGAATGAAAATCTTTAAAGCAGTGGTTTATTCTCGCTTTATTTTGTTCCTTTCTCTGCGTTTTATTTATGCGCGAAGATGTCACATAATGCGACTAATGTATACAGGTACATTTTATAATGTGAAAGGCTGTTTTATTTTTTTTTATATTTGGACGCCTTAATTAAATTGTTTTAGTAAAAAGAGCTGAATCATTACATGTTACAGATGCATCATCAGGCTTTTCACCGTGATCACTTTATTTTTCCGAGTTTTCCCGAGCGTTCTTTTTTCCTGTCAGTTCTTTTTCACCGTCTTAGCTTCGGATTTTTCAGATGTTTTATTTTTGACTGGGTCATTAACCAATTCATACACCAACCTTTCAGGCCATTTCACCTCGTGATACATTTTTATTTGTTCCTTCGTTTAGTTGTTGAGCATGTGCATCATTTACATCAGTGATGATGAATTGGTATTACAAAAAAATTCGCAGTCGCAAAATAAATATCCATGGCATGGTCACCCGAGCAGTCACTGTGAAGCTTTCGATGTTTCGTGATGCATCTGCCAGTAATCGTGCCATTCTTTTGAAGACTCCTTAACTACTGGTTCTTTTTACCCCACTCGGTAAGGGTACATAACTTCAAAAGTGGTCTGTGTGACTGCTTCCTATTTACAAGTGTCATTCGTATGTAGCGTCCATCGGATGTCAAGAAGGAATCGGCGACAGACTCACTGTCTTTCATAATAACGGTAATGTGTTGCATAACCACGTATTTGACGCACATTCTGTTGCGAAAGAGCTTTCCAGGCAGCCGATACTCCATCATTCGGTTCATCCGAGCTAGCGTCGTATCTTCGGCTTCCGGCAGTGATGTGCTAAGTTTAAACCATCTTGCTTTCTAAAGGACAATATATTTTAAAAGCTGGATAGATAAAATACAAATGTATTTGAATACTACGAAAAGGGGATATAAATCGGTCGATCCCCTATCTCCATCCCTGTCCTTTGTAAAAAGCTTAATATGTTTGCTAAACATCTCCGCTAGACACCTCGCAGGGTTACTGCCGTTACCGTAAAGAGCCAGCAAACGTGGTATCATAAATCACTCTGCTGTCAAAGGGAGCGAACGGCGGACTTCTCTGATGGTCAGCATAAAAAGACGAAGGAAGTAAAGAAGCGGACCAGTGATGTTTTCGATGACTAGGATGGCAGCAGCATATCTTATTTTCAGTAGTCCTACAACTTACTGCGGGTAGTAGTACAATAAGGAGGGTCTGTCGCGCTTAAGAGAATATGTAGCTAAATATACCAGTGGAAAAAGGACGGATTTCGACGAGTTCCTCCTATTCATGGGTTTTTGATGCAACAGATCGGCCAGTGAAATGTCAAGGAAAGACTTTCTTATGTTTGGTAGAGATCTGCGATTTTCAAATGAAGGCACAGTCAGAGTAGATAGTCGGATTTCCTATAACGAACAAAAACTAGATGTTTGTAAAGTAAAAATAGGTTGAGTGTGCAGAGAGAAGCGAAACTTGTATGTATGTGCGTGAGTTTATAATGACTTGAAGTGTATTAATTGTGCAAGTGGTGGATCTGCGGAAATCAGGCCGAACAGCAACAAGCATGTTTTATTAAAAACGGATACGAAGGCTCAAGATAAGGAGATTGCCAAATGGGCTGTCAGGAAACACTGTCACAGATTAGTCTGGTCAAGAGTACAGGGACGACGCCCTGAAAATCTCACACAAGATGCCCACGCCGACCATGTAAAACGTTGCGTACAATTACAATTACAAAGTAATACAAGATGACGATCATGTCAATTATAGAAGAGGAATTCGGGCGTTACTCTGTTGAAGCGCGGCGCTCCAGAAAGTCCAAACGAATGCCTCGACTGCCGTTGTGGAGTCCTCTTGTACTTCTGCAATGGAATTTCCGTTAGCATTGAAGGAGAGTTTTTTCCATCCTTCGATTTGGGAACGGTGCGCGAAAGTAGTATCTTATGTTTATAGTTACATAGTTTTTCTAACTCCTGATCTGGGAACAGGTTTCTAGATCCACAGGATGATATTTCCCGACAGAGTTTTTGTGTTATGTTTTGACTTGCGCCGAAACAGTGTCAAAGTATTTGCTGTAAATGCTTCCGCAAAAAAGGGTCCTATTTTTTATATTTGTTGATTTTTAATTTGTTTTTAAATATTTTACTTTTTTTTGAACCCCACGTCCTTTACAAAAGGCATTATCTAATTCAGTCGTTGAAAAAGGCTTGGTATTTGGCGTATTAGCACAATCTGAAGGCATAAGCTAGGATGAAAAAATACTATGATCACCGATCAGCTGGTTCAAATATCCAAATAGGTGATAGTTTTATTACTCAGAAAACAAGTTAAGCCAGGAAATTCAAAGTTTCATCTTCCGTGGACTGATTTCTATCGGGTAATTAAGATTCATCACCCTGCAGCGGTAATTGTCCCCCATTCGGTTCCACATTCGATTCCCTTTAAAGTGCATTTGAATCAAGTCAAAAAATGCATCTTCTTAGAGAGCCGAATTTGCACCTTACCAGCCCTGCCTCAGGGGTAGCTGAATGCACTGAACAGTTGCAGAGCCAAGCCGCAGGCAGCTATCCAAGGTATCTCTATGGTGTAGCAGATGGTGATAAAAAAGCTGAACAAGACGTAGAATGTTAAAATACAGTAGAAGGTCATGGTTATAATCTACGCTTCCAACAAAACAGCCAATGAGGCAAAAATTTACTATCTTATAATCGTCGTCAAATGGTTTATTTTCCCTTTTCTCTTTTTTACCTGGAACACTTACGGTTTATATGTTGTCTGATATCCTTTTTCTGCTCTTATGTTATTTATGTAGTCTTGAACATAATGTAACATTCTACACTCATGAACATTAAAGTAATGAAAGCTAATACCTGAGCAGTTAAAAATGCATCAATGAGCCTGTAACATACAGAAAAAAAAAAAAACCATCTGTTGACAAAAACCTATATTTCGGGCGTTTTGAGTGGTAAGAGGATTATTATCATACTCAACGCAACAGATACTGGAAAATTTGAGGTCAACATGTTAGGATTCCACTCCACACACAAGATGTAAACCTCGTCCTTACTAGCGACGCAACTGCTAAACATTACACCTAGTCCACATCAGCGTACACCAGAAGAAATCTGCTTCCCAGGTCCTTCGCATACTATATCGCTGCACAGCAAAAACACATAAAAACAAATGATCGCACGGGCAAACCTGGTGCATTGTTTCAGAATTTTATTTAAAGGTGGCCCGCGAGCTCAAGCAAGTATGTATATCAGGCCCGCGTGTCGCCAAAGGTTACCCATGCCTGCTCCGAAGCTTCAGCTTCCTGGCTTTCCTCGTTCCCGGGTTAGCAGTTTTCCCGCCAAAACTTTCACGTGTCGATGCGTGGCTCCCTGACGCTTCCAAACAGCTGATTTTGTTCGCACATTAGTGGGGAATATTCCCTTAAAGTTTCAGCCTTCTAGCTTTTCTCGTTCCCGAGTTAGTGTTTTCCCACCAAAACTTCCACATGTCCGTTCGTGAGTTCGAGCCGTTCTGAGGAGCTGTGTTTGAAATCTTTTAGTCCTGCGTTGAGAGTGAACATTCCCCTAAAGTTTGAGCTTTCTAGCTTATCTCATTCCCGAGTTAGCAATTTTCCCACCAAAACTTTTGCGTGGTCGTACGTAAGGCCCCAATGTACGTGGGGGGTTGCTACCGCGGTTCTGGGATGACGCTTGGCCGGAGAACACACTGGCAAAATTTCAGCTTCAAAGCTTACGTGGTTGGCGAGTTGAAATACCCGGGCAGACGAACACAGGCACACAAACATACACACACACACGCACACACACAGACACGCACACACGCAAACACACACACACACACACACACTCTGACGGGGTCGTTGCAATATGCGTTTTTGCTGCCTGTTGCAGTGCTCTATCGCTGCACGGCGTAAACGCATAAAAAAGATAAGTCACTGTTGTTACATCCTACGAAAGTATAGTTGTGCATGTGTTTTGTCTGTTTGAGCAGCTAAGTACAGAAACTATGGTCATCAAGAAGTCGAAGTGTTGGGATTGCACACTTACCAACTGAGTATCGCAGTCTGAAGTTGAATTTCGGTCCGAAATTCAAAATTCTGAAATCCAGTTAGTGCTAGAACTCGAAGACAAATAAAACTACAAGCCACTTCTAATGCGTTACGTGTTGCTGGTTGAAAACGCGTAACAACATTTAAAACTTTAATATGTTATGGCTTCACTCTCTGTGTGCATTCTGACCTCAGACCAAATTCGGTTAATGCGACAAACAAACTAGTTTAACGGATTAACAACAAATTTGATTTTTTAGTGATTCAGTTTAACAACTAGCACAAGGTGAGTGGTCTAAAATGAGCCTGCAAGCCTCTATGGCTTTTGACCAGTGATGTCCGGTTCATTCTTCATGATGATAATTTGGGATGAAGCACGTGAAGAATGAGAGTTTTTGGAGTTCCACCACGTAGTTATCATCATAACATTGCCTTTTGCATTTTCGGACATGCTGCATTTTTTTATTCTAAACATAAATGAACGCTGTTTCAAAAAAATCATCATTTGCGTGGAATGAAACTTTTGCGACTGGTTGCTGCTTGGATGCTAATAACTACTCAAGGGAGTGCTATTACTCGTAACGCTACGGGAAGTTATTTTACAGGCAGGATCAGGGACATGCCTGATATATTTGTTTTAAATAATAGTTACCAAGGAGCTGAGGGCGTCGACGATGACAGTAATGGAATAAAAAATGACAGTGACTTGAAATCAACAGAAGAGGCAATCAAATTCGAGGAGACTGATGAAAAAAACAGTAGCAAGCACGACATGCTTTTGCTAAAAGAAGATGGCCAAGCTACTTATGTCGTATCGTATCCACCGGCTAAGTATCGCTTCAACAGAGAAATGCTAGATAAACCCTTATGCGACCAGTACACTATGGAATGCATCGATGTGCGCTTTCTTTTGATTTTATCCATTTGCACCGTAATCTGGCATATCGAGGTAGAAAACACGTAGTTCTCTTTACACTAAAAAGTTATTAAAAATCGGAGGAGGAATTGAAAAAACTGAACCAAAAAACCCAAAAATTAACAGCCGACGCGGAGCTGACAAAAATGTACTAGATTTAGCAAAAAGGTTACACAATCTGGCAGGAAGGTAGCACACAGCATTAGAAAGTAAAAAATTGTTCAGATATGCTTGATTTTTCACGAACGTGCTAAGAAACGCCACACTTAGACAGCTGGTCATAAAGTTTTAGACAGAATGCCATGCCCTGTCCAGGCGAATACTTTTTCCATCGAGGAGGATGAAAAATAGAGTACCTCGCCACCCGCCAGAATCCAGGCTTAGAAATGCTTGCCAGAAAATGTGCTGTAGATGCTGTTTTGTCCCTTGCGTAAAATAATGTAAATGCGACTTGCTCGATATGACGGTAAAATTATCCGTCTTTCTGAAGCTGGAGTCATTATTCTGAATTTTTTGTCCTATCCAGATTTTTGATCTGTCCCGATCCTAGTTTTTGCCGATGTGTTTAGGATGCCAGGAAATCAAGTTCTCCAACTCGTTCAAACAAATGCTGGCAATGGGGCCATGAATGAGTTTTTAAGCGGGTAACTGTCGTTGCGGAAATGATCGCATCCTGATTGCCTCCGCTGTTTTTAGAATAGTGAGATGCTATGAAGACTTTGGTTTTTATCAATAAGTACAGCAGTATTAATTCAAGTCTTCCCAATCACTTTTAAAAATTTTGCTTTTATATCATAACAGGTGCATTGGGAAATCCTTTTTTAGTGGGCTAATTTTACCTTAGTGATGGTAATTATTGTGCCACAAGAAGGTTCTATAGATTAAAACGTTAAAATCTATCTATTTTTGATGAAGGGAACAAAAATTCATGCATTTCATGAAAAAGGAGACACGTGGCCTTTGAGCACTTAACAAAAGTCAACGCATGACAAATCCGATTTTTGCATTTAAAAAAACGCTTGGATTGTTTATCACACTAAAGCTAGTATAAGTGCGTGCAAAAATTGCTATCAGCATGACGAGAAAGTCGTGACGTGAATTTGAGCTAATTCAAGAATTTCAAATGCGTAATACATGAAGGATCAGTAATCAGTCGCTTCCGAAGAAAGCGACTACTACACCTAGAAGCGAAGAAAGCATTTCATACTACGGCGTTTTGCTTCTCAATAATGTTAGTGGGCTAACATCAATAGTTTGTGCGCCTCTGGTGCTAAGCTGAGATATAGACTTAAAATTCTCACCAACACCACTTAGAATCCCGCAAACTGCTGCATGATGCGGCTGTCTGAAAGGAAACGAATGTTAAGATGCTCGGTGCAGTTTTTATGCGTTTTTGCATATATGCAAATGCGAAAACGCATATTGCGACGACCCCGGTGTGTACATGTGTATTAGTATGTGTGCGTCTGTCCAGATATTTCAACTCAGCACCCACGGAAGCTCCAGCGCCAAAATTTTGCCGATGTGTTCCCCGGCCAAGTGCCACCCCAGGACCGCAGTATCAACCCTTACGCAAGTGTGGGCCCCGCGTACGAGGGGATGAAAGTTTTGGCGGGAACGTCGCTAACTCGGGAACCAGAAAAGCTAGAGAGCTGAAATTTTGAGGTCACATCCCCTGTTTACATAGAACTTAAAGGTTTCAAATTCAGTCCCCAGTTGTGCATAGTTCCCACGTACATTCTCATGACAGTTCCTGACACGAAAAACGCTAACTTGGGAACCAGGAAAGCTGGGGAGCTGGAATTTCCAGGGAATGTCCTCAGCACAAGTACAACTTAAAATAATCAAATTTAGCCCCTAAGTATGTGTGGTACTCACGTATGGCCCCGTGAAAATTTTTGGCTGGAAAATGGCTAACTCGGGAACCAAGAAAGCTGGGAAGGCTGAAATTTTCAGAGAATGTTCCTAGCAAATTTATGTTTCTAGCTTAAATTTATCAAATTCAGTTCCGGGGCACACGTGATTCTCACGTGCGGCCCGTGAAAATTTTTGGCAGGAAAATTGCTAACTCAAGAACCAGAAAATTTGGAAAGCAGAAATTTCAGTGAAATGTTCCCTGCCCAAATACTGCGTACTACAGCACGAAATATTGCAAAAACGTATAGTCGCACCCACTGCGCGTCGCCAATGATTTTTCATAATGAAAGCACATGCATTTCGTGAATTTGTGTCCGACTATCGATCAAAGATATAAGATACGCACACCAATTTCGGTGCACCATGCTAAAATTAATGCGACCGTAGAAAATTGTTTTTGAACCCTCCTTACTTAATTGTAACATTTTTCGACATTTTAGCAGTAAATCAGTACTCTGAAGTCATTTACACTTTCTACGCAGTTTTACAATTCCAGTTTAAAATTGATATCTTTTTTGCTAAATTTACTTCTCACTGTTAAAATTTTATGCTTATTTACTCCAGTAATTTGCCCCGGTTTTTTGTTATGCAACTTGAATTTTTCCTCGTAAAAATTTTTCCCACAAAAATAACGGCAACTTCTTTATAATGCAGTCAAACTTTTTGTTGTAGTATCGTGTAGAATATCCATCTGGCAATCTTCCAACCGATATAACTACAAGAAAGGTGTATAATCCGTGTCATCGATATGTTGAACCATGTTTTGGAATTGCATCGACTGACTATTGCGCCATTAAGAAATTTAGATCAATAAGAGACTATTAGTTGTTGTTTAAGATGTTTTGCTAATTATTTAAATAAAAATCTATTAAGCTTGACATGGTCGAATATCTGTTAAATCTATTAAGCTCGACATGGCTATATAATCAGATTCGGAGAGTGCGAAAGTTGAAGTGCTTTTGCTTCTAGGTTCAATTCATTTTTGGCAGAAAAAAAGAGAAACGGAAATTGAAGTGGACCGAAAACAGTACGGTTGCATGAAAAAACGTAGGCTGGAACGCACCAGGCGAGCTGGTGCGATCATGCGTTTTTGCACAAAACTTGAATTGGGTTAA